TATGTAATTATTTATGTAGTTATTTATGTATTTATTTATGTAATTTATTTAAATAAATAAATAAATAAATAAATAAATAAATAAACAAACAAACAAATAAATAAATAAACTATGTTTATGTATTTGTTTGAATCTGAATTTAATTTGTTTGTTTGGTTGTTTATTTGTTTGTTTGTTTGTTTGTTTGTTTGTTTGTTTGTTTGTTTGTTTTTTCATTCTAGCCTTGGATTATCACCAAGAAAAAAAAATAAAAAAAAATAAACGAACGAAAATACTTTGTTGCGGTATATTTTTTCCCCCTTCCATCATTCAAACTGTAATTCAACATCCTGTATGTTGTGGTCAGTTTGCTCTGAATTGTATTCAGTCTTATCATCCACACATGCAGCGACAGCATCCTAATAGAAAAAGCCAACCACATTTATAACATTTCTACACAGTCAGCAACTCTGTCAGCACACACACAGTACTGTGTAAAACACCAAGCGCTCACAGTTAATACAGAGAGACTCTGATCTCAGAACTGTGCAGCAAGTGATCCCTCAATACTCTAATAAACACAAAGCAAAAACACAGTCCATTTTAGATGCCACTTCAATTATCAAGCCGTATATAAAGGATAAATAACCAACACAGGCTCAGGGGAAATATGTGCTTTAGTTTATATGTTTGTGAAACTGCAAAAACGTACTTCAACGCACATTAGACTGTAGTTTGTATGTGAAATGAACACTAGGGGGCAGTATGACCACAACAACTTTAGTTCTTTACACACTAATGCCACTTACAGGATTATTTAATGCATTTCTTTGCATACCACCAAATAAATAAAGGATGTATACACTGTAAAAAAAATAAATGCAAGAGTGCACACACTTCATTTGTGTTGTTCCAACAAAAATTGATTAAGTTAACAAATTTAGATGGATTGAACATAAACAAAAATTCCCAAAAAATCTCCAAAACTATGTATAAGTAGTTGAATAAGTATGAACAAGCAACACAATATTTTACAAAATGGGCTAAGGGTAGCCTATAAGCATTAATAAAACAACTTTTGCATTGGGATGTCATGTTGATAAACCATATTCAATCCTGTGAGCAGAGAAACAAAATCATCTGCAAAATACGACTTAATACACCCTAAAGAAACAGTAAAATAGGATGTAAAATCCTCATTTCACTTACCAAACATGTTCCCGATGTGTCCGTTCCTGGTCAGAGGTCGGAGTTCGTTCTTGCCCCAAGCGTAAAGCTTATAGTTGTCCCAGGCAAACTTCATCATCTGAAACAACACAAAACAAATGTGGGAAATTAAATTAAATGTGCTTCTTACAATTTTTATTTTTTTTTAATTTATGAGAATGTTATGAATTACAAGAAAAAAACTGCAGAATTGAATCATGTTCCACGAAGTCTATTTGTTTCTGCTGGTGGCAAAAAATGCTGTCATAATTAGCAGTGCAGAAACGCAGCAGACCTGCAGGATCACATTAATCAAATACATGCATAAATTCATGAGCGAACGCACTGTTACCTGCAAACATTACCAAGGAAATAAATTAATAACCAAACAAATGATCAATGCTTTCTCAGCCAGTGTGTTGTTCTGTGTTTGAAACAGTATCCGCCTCAAAACTGGACTCAAAGTGAGCTTTTCATCATATTTTAGGGATTTACAGAGGGGGAAATAAGTATTGAACTCGTCATCCGTTTTTATCAGCATTTCTCTAAAGGGGCTGCTGCCTTGAAATTGTCACCAGATGTTAATAACAACCAAAGAAATTCATATATGCAAAGAAAACAAAACTAATTAGTTTGCTAATGAAGTTCTGTGTGATAAAATGAAATGATGCAGGTAAAAAGTAATAAACACATGAAGAAAGGGAGGTGTAGAAATGCAGTGAAAGCCCAGACAGCAGCTGAAATCTCTCAGTAGTTTTTCAGCAAGCCTCTGCCCTTTGCCAGTGTAAATGAATATCAGCTGCTTCAGTCCAACATCTACATCAGCAGGAGAATGAAGACGAACCCAGGGTGGACATTTCAGCAAGACACAGACATTTTGATCCGCAGACATTTGATCCAAAACACAGCCAAGGAGATTTCAGATGCTTTCAGAGAAAGAAAATCAAGCTGTAGAATGGCCCAGCCAATCACATAACAGATTCCATCAAGATTTTGATACTCTGTTAAAGGGCACATAGTTTACCCCTTTTTTATGATTTAATATTAATATTATGGTTGTTCTGAGTGTGCCAGTATAGGTTCAGTTCAACACACAGTTCAGATGTTTTTATTATAATGTGTTAAAAAGTGTCATGTTGGGGGCATTTACACTGCTGTTTAGGGGCGTGTTGCTTCACAGTTTCAGCTTCCCGCCCAACGTAACAAGGGGGCGGAGCCAAGAGCTCCTACGCTCTGTGTTTACAACAGACAGGCTGACAGAGAGAGAGAGCTAAGCTAAGCTATGCTAGGATGAGCATTCAGTCGTACATGTATGAGTCGGACACAGACCAAGCAGAGAGTACAAAATCATTTGTGTCTTTGTATAGTCTCGGTGTAAAAGTGCCGAGCGTGTACACCGAGACTAATAACCACACACACTGAATTAACTTAAGTTCTGCCGCGTTTGCGCCGACAGAAACCCACGCAGCGCCAAGCCGCTGACCTGAAGCTCACTGCGTGCAGCCTGACAGAAACCCACGCAGCGAGGAGCAGCTGACCCGAAGCTTCACCGCGTACACGCCGACAGAAACCAACGCAGCGCGGAGCAGCTGACCCGAAGCTTCACCGCGTACACGCCGACAGAAACCAACGCAGCGCGGAGCAGCTGACCCGAAGCTCCACCGCGTACACGCCGACAGAAACCCACACCCAGAACTCGGAAATGCATGAAGCCATGCAAAAGCTACAAGCAATAATTCAGATTCCAGCGATAATGTGGAGAATATTGATCTTGTGTTGAGCCCAATGAGCTTTTCATCAAAAAATAGAGCACCGGTGTTACTTTAGTTATATTGCTTTGACTCACACACTGAAAATAGCTGGCGTGCAACAAGTAACTGAGGATATGATCGTGAAGCAAGGCTGTCAATCAATATTGGTGGGGGGGGGGGCCGCATTATTACGTAAAGTTGCGGTCAGTCTTAAAACCGCTCTAATTGGTCCAACGTTTTTTTTTTGTTAAATTTGAAAAAAAGGACTGTGTGTGTTTATATCACCCCAAATGACGGTCTATACACTATACCTACACACATGTCTGTCCAAACAGCTTAAAAAGTAGATTTTTCACCATAGGTGCCCTTTAAAGTCTGTGAGAAAATCACACCTGAGCAATGCATGTGCCTTCATTCTCCATATGAGAGGCGTCTTAAAGCTGCCGTATTTTGTCATATCATTTCTTAAAACAAAACAGTATTTTTTGCTTGTCCAGAAAATGCAGAAAAAAACAAAAAATGGCAGTTTTATTAGTTTTCTTTGTGAAGTTTATTCATAAACTAATTTCGAGAGGATCACGTGCTTATGATTGACACGGCTGGCCCCGAGTCAAGCTAATGAACGAACCACCAATCAGACTATTCCTAACCCAGTATAAAAACCCAACCACACTTTACCTTTAGTCATCTTCGTCTTGAAGAATCTCCCCTTCCACCCCTTCTCCTCCTCTTTTCTACAGGGCAGCACGGCGGCCCAGTGGCTAGCACTGCGGCCTCACAACAAAAATGCCTCCGCCTCGGGTATCCACCCAACCGATAGCATTTTCGTGCGGAGTTCATGTTCTCCCCGTGCTTGCGTTGGTTTTCCCCGGGTCCTCCGGTTTCCTCCCACACTCCCAAAAACATGAGACTTAAGTAAATAAACCAAATTAGCACCAAATTCAATTCTGTCAGCAACACATCACCTTAGCAATCCTTAAGCCTGATTTATACTTCTGCGTCAAGTGACCGGCGTAACCCACGGCACAGGCAACGCGCGTGGCTGTGCATTTATACTTCTACGCGTGGTTTCTGTCGGTCTGCATTAACACTTCTGAAACGCTAGTGGGCAGTGAGGTGTAAATGTTCCTCTGTGTCGAGTTTCTTCTCTGCTGTTTTGCTTTTCCTGAACACTTCCGGGATGTACAAGTGACTCAAACTCGCTCATTTTGAGGCAGGAACCGGCGGACGTGCAACAACTTTAACCATGAGGTAAACACAAAACAAAACTTTCCATCAGGAGCTCCTTCACGGGACTCCACACTTGTAAACAATCAGGCTTGCACCATTCGCACGGCTCTCGGTCCCGCCCAGACTAGTCAGCGCTACCAAGCCGACCAATCACAGAGCTTGCGCTACGCGTCGTTGCGACGTGTAGTTACATTTTTTGAGAGGTGCACGTCAGCGACAACGACGGCCACGGAAAAGGGCTATGCGTCAGCGCCGTAGCATACGCCGGCGTTTGACACAGAAGTATAAATCAGCCTTTACGCAGCAGGAGGGGGGGGGGTTCCGCGAGATCTACCAGAGCTCAAACTCCCCTCTCGCCCTGCAACTGGAGAAAGCTCCAGGCTCGAGGCTCTCTCCCGGGACAGCATGCCAAACTAACTTATTACCAATCATCAGCTAAGTGTGAACTCTTGAAATTCCGTTTAAAACTAGAAATCAAATGAACAACACGTACTCGGACCGAAATACTGTGAAAAATTCCTTGCTCTGTTAAACATCATTTAGGAAACATTTATAAAGGGAAAGAATTCACAGGAGGGCAAATCATTTTGACTTCAACTTTACCTTAAAAAAATCAGTAAGTCCAATGAAACACTTTTTTTCAGTGCATGGATGTGTGTTCAAGTCTCCAGGGTTGATCTCCGAGAATGAGTGTTTCTGCTTCAGATGACGTCTGGCACCAAAAACCTCCACAAGACACGCTCTGAAAAAGACTTTCTTCCCCGGAGGAGGAAGCCAATAATTGGTGTGGGATCGGCTCCAAGCACGCCATGAAAAGCCTTTCCGACATGATAGGGAATTAACAGGAAGAAATTCCAACTGTGATGCTCAGCGATCCTTATTTTAGCTCGACATGAAGGAGCAGATGTGGGTGAATGCTGCGATGGTCTGTTTCTGACGAACGCTTATCGGTACTAGCGCTTTGGTTTCTCTTGAGGGAGTTCAGGGATAAATAATAGCAGGTTTTCTAGCTGTTAAAACGCCATGTCCACTTTATCTGTGTGTAGAAAGCGGCACTGATAACAGTGCTGGCAGAGCTTTAACAGTGATTTTATGAAGACAGAAGGGTAAACACTGTATAGCAAGATGTTCTGCATTTATTGTGCAAAAATATATACATATCAGTGCACAGTTCTGACTCATTAGCAAACAATTATGACTAAAGTACAACAAACAACTTAATATTTTACTATTTTTAAGTTAAAATGATCAGGGAGTGGGTGGAGTCTCAGAGCAGAATTCAGAGAGGGAGTGGCTAGAGTGGGTGGAGTCTGAGAGTTGAATTCAGAGTGAGAGTGGCTAAAGTGGGTGGAGTCTGAGAGCTGATGTCAGAGTGGGAGTGGCTAGAGTGGATGGGTTTGCAATCTAAATTCATAGTGGGAGTGGCTAGAGTAGGTGTAGTCTACAAGGGTGGATTTAGAATTGGTGTGGCCAGAATTGGTAAAGTCTGTAGGGTCATATTTTAAAAGGCGTGGTTAGAGTGGGTGGAGTCTGAAAGCAGAATTCACAGTGGGAGTGGCTAGAGGGGTGGAGTCCGAGAGGTGAATTCAGATTGGGAGTGGCTGAAGTTGGTGGAGTCAGACCTGAAGTCAGAGAAGGAGTGGCTAGAGTGGTTGGAGTCAGAGTTGAATTCAGAGTGGGAGTGGCT